GTGAGGAAGTCTCAGGCGAAACGCCCGGCCCACCCTTAAAACTGGCCTCGGGTTGCGACATGGAGAAGTTACTTTTAAGGCAAAGACATGGTGGAGGAGGAGGAGGAGGAGGAGGAGGAGGAGGAGAAGAAGAAGGGGGAGAAGGAGAAGGAGGAATACAGAGCGGAGAGGGAGGAGGAAGAGGAAGAGGAGGAGGAGGTGGAGGAGGAGGAGGAGGAGGAGGAGGAGGAGAACGGTGACCACTATGGCCAAGACCGATTGCGGAAGCGTCGGTGCCGATCCTGGTCACCGCTACTTCATGGATGCAGTCAGCCCGTACAGTAAGGGCGCACAGTGAGGATGCAAGGGCCTTGGAAGGCCATGTCGACATTTGGCGAGCGGGGCGCGGCCAGCGAAAGCAGCCAAGGATAGGCCGAAGGGGAAGGAGGCAAGGGTAACATTGGAAAGTCGCTCATCCTTACTATGCGGGTTAGGCCTCGCGAATCGGCGACGCTCAGCACGAAGCATGGCCAAGATCGCAGGATTTCGCGGGGTAAGCGGGCTGCGGGCTCAGGCCTCTCCCCTCAGCCCGCACCGCGACGAAGGGGGAGGAGCAACGACTCGTCGCGGGCGGTGGTGGCTGGCCCCCTTCATCCTCCTCCTGCTCCTCCTCCTTCTCCTGCTCCTCCTCCTCCTCCTCACCCTCCTCCTCCTCCTCCTCCTCCTCCTCCTCCTCCTCCTCCTCCTCCTCCTCCTCCTCCTCTCGCTCACGGGCCCGCCACCTTTGTGCTGGTAGAGAGCGGAAGAGCCACCCGCATGATGATGATGATGATGATGATGATGATGATGATGATGATGATGATGATGATGATGATGATGATGATGATGATGATGATGATGATGATGACGACCCCATACACTGGGCACATACGGTAAAGCTCTGACCACACAACATGTCCGCGCGTAGTCTTCGTCGATCTCTGAGGGCCCTGAGGTGCCCCAGAGCTTCTGTGGGCCCACAGAGCCATCGGCGGGCACGAAACTTCCGCGGGGCACGTGGTGACACGACGGTTTCTCATAGACGCGCCTGCTGTGCAGCTGAGGCCCGCGGGAAAACGCGCCGAAGGAAGGAATCGGGCAGGACCGGGATGCCCTGTAAACCCGAAGGGCTGCTTGGTAAACACCTCGCCCTCCCCTGCCTCCGGGGCCAGATTCGAGGTTCGAGGCACTTGAGGGGCGCATTTCCGTAGATTCCCCCAGGACCGTTTGCTCCCACCTCCAAGCTGCTGCTTGCACTTTGGATCTCACTTTGGCTTTCAAGTGTCCCTCTCCTCGTCATCCATCGCCCACTGGCTCTTTGCAGATGAGGCCTCAGAGGGGTCCGCACTCCAATTGCCAGCCAACCTGTAGCTTTCGGGGCCACCAGAGGAAGGAGGATGAGGAGAAAGGATGACGATGACTAGGACACAGAGGAAGAGAAGGGTGGCGGACAGGAGTTTTCAAGTCTTGACGCGCACCAGCTCGGCCATGGCGATGGCCTGGCCAAACTCGCTGTCGTCAGCCTTCCGCACCTCGGATACCCCGTGGTCCCGCAACAGGGCATGGCAAGTGTCGAGCATCAGCTGCCCAGACGGGCCATCGGTCAGCTTGCCCCCAGCCTCCACGTACTCGACGGGGCGAGGCAGGTAGTCGTTGAGCTCGAGCACGAAGTTGGCGAGCCAAGTGCCGAGGGAGGTAAAGATGCCGCGCACGTTCTCGTCCAAGGGGCCCTTCTGCATCGCGACCAGTGCCGCCCGCTGCTCCGCCTTGCCCTCGACGAGAGCACCCCCGCGCGCGGCCTGGACCAGAAACCATTCGACACCACCCCACCTGCGACCCAGTGATGTCGAAAGTTTAGGCAATTGCCCCGTGCAGTCTCGGTGTGTTATCACGAAGACCGAGGCATCTTCGAAACGAGTGCGCGGCAAGGTCGCGACCATTCAACATGGCAGGTCGTACGGCAGGTTCGTATCGTGACGACCTGGGCATTGGTTTCTGACACCGCGTGGATCGTTCAACCTTCGACAATCGCGATTTTTTCGATAACGCAGGTCGTTCGATACTGGCCGATTCTGGGCCGCTGACGGCGTTCAACCTTGAACGCCCGCGCTGGGGTCGCCGCCGCGTCGACACGGCACGAACCTTTCGTAGGCGGGGTGGTGTCGTTTGTTTCTTTGTCGACGGCCAGTAGGTTGAAGAACGAGCGCTGCGTCCCGGCCATGCCCTGCGCCACGCCCTCCACTGCCAGGCCGTCGTGCCGCGGCACCACGCCGCCTTCCGACCTGCGGAGCCCCAGCACCAACTTCCCGAGCTCCAGCACGCCCTCGCAGCACTGGCTCCTCCATACGATGCCCCCGGCCAGCCCGGTGCCGCAGGAGAGGAAGAGCCCGGCACGGTCGCTGCTTCCCAGCCCCTTGTGATTAGCATCAAAAGGACCCCTAACCCTTTGGGAGGGGACCTAGTTAGGAGGTCCAGAACAATTAGGGATAGAGAATCTTTTCTGCAGACGTATCGAACCAAACCGCACAGTTTTTTATTCCTGATGCAGAGACGGGGACCTCAGTGAGGCCACGTCTTCACTGTGTTATGAAGGTTAGGCGCTCTGTTGCACTCAAAACCTATTATAAGTACGCGTGGTAAAGACGCAAGACCCTTGGAGGCCGACGATGGGATATGTTGGGCAGCGGCCGGCCAAAACCCCTGGGACGCAAGGGTGCCGTGGCCCGTCCCGTTCTTGCCGATTTGGCGCCGCAGCACGCAGAGACAAGGACCCAATGGTACCCTAGGAAAGGCGCGTCCGTATCATGGGTTTTGATCGTTTTCTCGATGACCTTGGCTCCGTACAGGGCGGAGGCGTCGCCGTCGTTGACCAGCACGGCGGGGCAGCCTGGGTCCACGGGGAACCTTTGCCGCACCTGCGAGGAGCACCACATCAGCGGCACGCGAGCACAAACTTTCGGGGCTCCGCGCGGAGCTGTGGGCTCGGCGCTGGACACACCCCTGGCGGCGCCTCCAGCGCCAGGGGGGAAGCTCAGCGCCGATCCAAGAAACCCGCGCGGGGCTACGAAGGTCTGCGCGGAAGCGAGAAACACACATAGACGGCTGGATTCACTTGTGGAACATGTGGAGGACACTGGCTGGATACACACGTGGAGGCTCCGTGTGCTTGGCCACACGAGGGCCGATCGCTTGAAAGACATATAGCCGCATGTGTACCCAGCTCTTTACTTAGCACTTCCAGATGCTGCTCGCGCCTGAGGATCCTCTGCGCCGCTGACAAACAATCCAGCTCTCGCCCAGACTGGCCGCGTTATATGTATCCACCTTCCAACCAACATGGGACCAAAAATGTGCTGGGACGAAACAGCGCTTGGCCTCAAACATTTGGCGAACTTGTTCTGATTCGGCGTTTCGACGTTGGGCGGAAGGGGAAGGGGGAGGGGGTTCTGGCTCTGGACCTCTGCTTAATGCGACTGTTTGGAGCCGTGCTCCGATTCTGTGGTCATTTTGACCAAACCAATTTTGCCGATGGCACAAGACCGCGCGGCGGATGTTGCTGCACAGCCTGAAGACGCGAACGCCGCGCTGAGGAAAAGTGCGAGATCACAGGGCCGTCTCCAGAACCAGGAGGAAGCCACCGTGGCCAACAACCTCTCCCCCCAGCGTTAGTCAGAACCCGACTCCGAGCCAAACTCCTGGGGTAGGGGCGCAACGTCCTCTTCCGCGCGGGAGGAGGCTGCCACGCTCCTCGAAACAGAACCCGAGGACGAGGCTGGAAGGGGCGTGGGCGGCACCTGCCCCGCTGGAGAAACCACACCCGCGTGCAAAGCACGGCCCGCCTCCTCCTCAACTCCGAACCCGTGACCAAAAGCCTGGCCCATGAACGCAGGAGTCCGCACGACCACGGGCGTCGCGTTCCTCTCCCCGCCCGCCGCCCCAGCGCTCCCCGCCCCCAGGTCTTTCTCGGCAATCCGAGCTCCAATGGCGGCCAAGCATTCCAGAAAGGTGGCCATTGATGAAAGGAAATGCTGCTGCGAAGCGGTGGCATGTGCACGTGTTTCGGGCTCTGACACAGGCGCCTCGCGCGCCGCACACGCCACACCAGCATCACGCTGCAGGTGCAAACCACGCCTGGGACTGGCCAATGCATGCGCACCACTGCTACGGGCCTCAGGATGGCATGACTCTGCCAGCTTCCGTATGTTATGCTGTGCATAACTGCCACAGGCCATGCAGACAATGATATTATTTTTGATTTTATATTTTTAATTATTAAAAAGACCACTCCGAATATCCGACCTGGGTACTCGCAAGCTTGTGGCCCCCGTCAGGTGCTTTGGCTAGCATGGAGCACAACCTTGTGGGGAACCCCTGGCAGCCGACCTCGGGTTTGTCCTGGACGGGCCCCCCAAAAAACTTAAACGGCCTGAGCATCGATGGCCCCGCAGCCCTGGAGCCCAGGCGTGCTGGCCCGTTGGCTCGGCTATCACCTTACGCGGGCGCTCGCGCTTCGGGGGGCGCTGGCGCTGCGCCCTCGGAGAACGTGGCAAAACCACGGCGACCAAACGCGCCGCCGTTTCAAGACTCTCGATCGAGCTCTTGACCTGGGCCCAGTCGGCCTCCGAAGGTTGCGGGTGCAGCGCGAGAGCCCCTCTGGCCTCGCGGTCCGCCCGCCAGTTAGCCTGGCCAATCCGTCTACCAGGAGGGCGAAGCAGCTCAATATCCTCCAGCTTCCGATGGGCAGGCGTGCGAGCAGCTGGGGCATAATCATTGTTGCGCATATGCGGCAAAGCACCCCTGCGCATGCCCCCATATCTTTGCTTGGCTGATCGATGCTCGCTTGGGTTATTGTCATGCAGTTCGGCGACATTCATGCAATCGCCGCACAGGGCTGGTTCCTGATATTGCGGCACAAACAATAGGGAGCATGACCATCTGAACTTGGTATGCTGCCTGGCTTGCCCGGGGAAGGCTAGGCCACGCAACTCCACGCGCGACATATTTCTGCTCGTCATTCGCATCGTCGAAAATCCACGAGTATGCAGCTCGAGCAAGCTCCCGAATCGCATGTGGCACGCACGAGCCATCCCCTGCCTGTGCGAGTCCAGCGGGATCGAACTCACTCCAAGGTACAACAGTGTTATTCAGATCGCACAGGGTAGGCTCATGCTCATCCGAAAAAGACGGCGGCTCGGCCGCGGGATTTGGGCACTTGAGCGCCTGGCAGACAAGCGGGCCCCCTTCCCTGGCACTCGTATTTATATATATATATGTACAAAAAAATATTTTTTTGTTTTTTAATATATATATATATATATATATAAAAAAAAATGGCCCGTCAACCCGAGCGAGTCGCTGGCGGCCTTGACGTCCGCATGCGGGCACTCCACCAGCCCGTGACCTATCGAATCGGGAGCCTGGCAGAGAGGGCGCAGTCCTTGCGTTGCGTAGCCCGATCGCTGGGCCCTATCTTCCGTCCAGAGGCCCACGGTAGAACACGTCCGAACCAGGTGCTTGTCCTGAGCGTTGAGCCCAGCGCCTTCCACCCCTCTTTTCGTGATCCCACGGATCGGCTCAACGCGCGCCCTGGCCCTAGGGTCCCAGCCCAACTGTGTAGCCAGAGCGCGTTCGCGGCGTCGCCGTGCCCAAGCTCAGCCAAGACCCCACCGTGAATAGGGCTGGCGCGCAGCAACGATATCTCCACGCCGCAATCATCGCGAGAGTCCAACGGGGAGCAGCACCCCCACCCGATCCGCTCAAGGGAGAGGTGCATCCTGCTGGGCGGCCCTTTGCTTTAGGCCCACGGATGACCTGCTCTCGGCGCGTAGCGCCACGTGCTGCAGAGCTCCCGGATCGAAACGAGAGCCTGCTGCAAGCGAGCGGCGGCGCTCCGCGCCGCACGCGCCCGCGCCAAAGCCGGCGCAACCATGGCCCTCCACATCGGGTATTCTAGCAGCGCCGTCTCGGCCCTCAGCGCGACCCCAGCGCGGCACGGAGCCTGGAACGACAACGCCGCACTTCTCGCGCGCTTAAGGTCAGCATCCGCCAGCCCGACAACCGCGCCGCCGAAACTCAGCGCCGGTTCAACTCAAGCCGCATAAATCTCACCTGTTCTGAAACGCCCCCTGGGCAGCGCCCCCCGACAGCTACAGAGGGCCGCGCGGCGTGGAGCCATATCTCCGAATCTCCCCCGCAACTTCTTCAGGCGGCCTTTCTTGCCGCGCGCGCCCCCAGGGGCCAAGTCGCAACCCGCCGAGACCAAGCGGGCCCCCACCTACCCCGCCAGTGGCCCGAGCGGATTCCCGAGTCTACGAGCGCCATCAGGGGTGGAACCAGAAGTCGCCAATTTGTCTCGCGCCAGATTCACCCCGAGCTCCCTGGTGAAAACTCCCTGCAAGTCCATGGCCGCCTACTGCAAAGACTTCAAGACTTCGGCGGGCTCGTCGCAGTGACCGACCGCGTCGCCGTCTTCACGCGACGCAAGGTCGATCGATGGATGTCGGTGGACGAAGCCGTCGAAAGGCTCCAGTGCGCGCTCTCTCGCAAAGATGTCATGGAAGCACGGCCCTGCTGGCAACCCGCTCTCAGCATGCAACGCAGCAATGCTGCGGTCGATCGGGGGATTCGCGGGCCTCTCCAAAATTTAAAGGTAACCTTGAAAACGATCGGATCCAGGCTGGCCCTGCGCCCGCGGTCGCGCATCACCTTGAGGTCGGCGCCTTCATGAGACTCGGGCCCCTCCCAAGAGAACCCGGCCGCGACCCCTCCTTCGGCCACCTTGGCCTCAGCTTCAACCGCGCGTTTCCGAGCGCTGCCTTCCGCCGACCTCCCAGCTCCGAAAGCCCAATGCTTACGGGGATGGCGGCCGCTGAACGTCGTCGGACGCGGGCGCCCAAGCTCCCCCCGCGATCGAACGGGCGACGAGCGCTGGAGCAAACGTCGCAACCCCCTCTTCGGCTTCTCAAGGATGGGGGAAGCATCCAACGGGGCGGCGTCGGGGCGGGCCTTAACTTGTCCACGCGCTGAAAACGGCGCGCCAGGGCCCCGGGCCCAGTTCTTGCCCGGCGCTTCCACGGGAAGAGGGGCGGTGGTAGATCTCCCAAAACCCCGGCACATCTGCATCCTTCGCTTAGCGCTTCCTCGGGTCAGCCGAGAACACCCCTGGCGCAGTTTCTATCGCCGCCGGATGTCGCTTCGCCTTCAGCCTCGCGAGTCGGCGCATTTTTCGGGCCGACCCCGCGGGGGCCTCCGTCTGCCGCGGACCCCATGATGTTTTAGCCTTCTGATCCAGCCAGTCCCGGGCCAGCTGAAAGTCCTCCGCCCGCCCCTCCAAACTCTCTGAGCAGCGATGGATCCACCCTGCAAGCGCCGCCAAGTCGCGCGGCCGCGCCGCCGCGATCTCGCGCGCCCTGCGGCCGGCGAGATCAAGCCTCGGAGACAAGCCTTCGGCTTCGAGGTGGGGCGAAACAATCTGCGCTAAGTTGGCGGCAGCCTGCGCTTCCGTCCGATCAATGATCTTGTCCGATTGCACAAGCAATGACCCGTGTTACGAAGACCATTCACGCCCTGCTGCGACCGCGCCCACCCTCTACAACTCCGCGGGCTTCCGTCGACGGGGGGGCGGGGGGGGGGTAAGAACAGGCGCCCGCTTGGACTGCAGCTTGAGCCCCTTGAGGCCCTTCCGCTTGATGGGCGCATATGATCGCGACTCCAGTTCGAGCTCCATCGCATCCGAGGAGCGCTTCCACGCTTCGCCCAAAACGCCCCGAGCCCTTTTCCGCGCCGTCGTGGCCCGCGCGACGGTTGGACTCTTCGGCCGCAGCTCGGGCCGCGGACCAGTCTATCGGGGGGGGGTCGGCCCCGCGGGCAACTCAACAGGAAATTGCTGGTGCGTCTGGTGCACTTAACTGTTGGAGCCTCGCCGCCCCTGGCCTTAACGAGGACGAACAGGTCGGTGGGGCCTTCTCGGCCGTGAGCTGCCTATGTCGGCGGTCTCCGCCAACTTGCTGACCACCAACTTGCTAAATGCCACCGACGCTAGAAAGTAATCGATCGTATCCTTGGCATTGGGAGTCGCGCGCGTTTCAGCTTTCGGCTGCATGATCGCCATCGAAGCTTTCCGCGGCATCCCCGAGAACTCGAGCACAGTGGGTGGGGAATTCCAATCCGCTGCCAATGCCGACAAATTCGCCCCTTCCAGAGCAGCCCCTGCGCGCTTCAGAATTGACGAGCTGCGCCTGCTGAGGCCCTCACTGGTGCACGCGCGCGCAGCCAGCTAAACTTTCAGGCCAACCAGGTACATATGTCGATAGACGCGAACAGAAGCCAGCGCTGCACTAGCGCTTACTTCTCGAGGGAGTGACAAGTGCCACCGCAAGCCCATTGACATTCTCGCAAGTACAGCAACTCCTGCAGAACACCGCCTGCCAGCTCGTGGGATGGACGGCGGACGCAACATATTCCATCCCAAACTCTTGGCCGCGCTAACCCTCGCATTCACGTCAGCCTCGTCGAACCCTATCTCTTAAGCGAAAACAACGAAACCCGTGGTGCCCCCCAGACGTTTCTTGAGCGCGCCCACGCTGTTGCCGTTATAAGATTCAAAAATGTGAGCCGCGCTGGCATCATTCAATCGGGGGGCGGAACGCGGCGGTAAGCATGCACCAGAGGCTGTGATGGGCAGCCCTGTGCACTTAGGCCCCTGGGTGGGCCTCGCACGGGCGCTGGTGTCTGAGACTAGAGTGAAAATTGCGCCAGCCTTCAAAGCACGCGGGAGCTGAGGAACACTGGTGGCCACGCTCTGCGCTGCCTGCTGGTCGGCGTCCTCGAGCTGCGCCGGTGCAATTTGAACTGTCAGATAACACCCATTCGTGCCCGATTCAACCTGCCGGTCCACTCCATTCAACCGCACTGCGGCACGTCGAGTAAGTACCACATGGCCTTCAACTCGCCGAAACTCTGGGACTCGAGCCGTTGCGCGTCACACTAACACGATATGAACCGCATCATCAGACAGAACGCCGCATGCTTCAGTAGCCTGCGGTGAACCCGATCTTGCACATCAATCTTGACCAGGCCGCTGATCATCGCGGGATGCCGTAGATATCACTACGTAGTCAGAGTTGGGACCTGGGGGCGACGTAGTTGTGTCTTCGAACTGCCTTCTCGTAGCCCCCGACGGTCGCCCAGACCTTGCAACCCCATTGCTGCTAGGGTTCCGTCGTCTTAGGTCTCTTGAGCTTGGCCCTGACGATGGCCTCTGCAAAACCCGTTTGTCACCCTTGTGCTTCTCCCACATACGTACAGCTGCCTCCACATCTAAGAAAGCGTCGTCCATCTTCTCGTCGAAAAGGCGCTGGGATATGCTCGCCGTCTCCCCCTCCGCCACCAGAAGGACCAGCAGCATGGCCGGGGGCGCAATAGCGTCTCAAACTCTTCGAACGCCTCCGATTCGAGCATCTGCTGTATCGCCCCCTTGCCAGGACGTCCGACAGGAGCGTGAGCGCCACCGGTGGAGTCCTATGATCACTACCATTATCGCGCCGAGAGAGAAAGAGTTGACATGCTGCTTCTGCAACTCGGACACCTCTGTCTGAAGGGTTGCTTACCGTGCCTCGATCTCGGTCGTCTCCGCGTTGAGCTCCGCGAGCAACTTGTGAAGCCCCTGCAGCTCCTCATTGACCTTCTCCAACTTTGACGAAGCCCTCGCCAGACGATGCCCAACATTAGTGTGCTGGATAATGCTTGGCTTCTTGCTCTCGATCTCTGTGCGCGCTGTCTTGAGCTTGCCCTCCAGCAGCGCGCGCGCCTCCAAGGTGTCCCCCCCTGCAGCACGAACGCGCGGGCCTTGGCCCCACATCGACACCGCAGCCTGCACGCCCACTTGCTCGTGAGCCCGCACGCCTGGCATCCCCCGAGCGGGGTCTCCGGCTGGCGGACCACATCTCCGCCATCCATGGAGGCCGCTGCCGCACAAGCGGAGCCGCCCACCTGCTTGAAACAGGCGCTTAAAGCAGCCAAGATCTGCTCCATCGAGGGGGAGAGGGGGGGAGAGCCCACGCCGATCGACAAAACAATGAAGAAGAACACGATCACCATTTGTGGGCCCGAACAAATTATGTCTACGCAGTGCTTTCGACTACACGCAAGGAGTGACCCTGGGTAAAAGTGACCTTTGGTGCGCGGATTTTTGGGGGCCGCGGCAGGACCAAACAAAAGCGCGCAAGACGCTGCTGCCGCATCGCGTTCGGCGATCGGGGGACCCCTTTGGGCCTGCACCAAAGGTCACCCCGGCGAAAGGCCACTCTTACGTGTAGTACACTTGTGGGGAAGCCAAAGGGCACCAATACCGCTACTCCCAGGACCTCTCCTGGAATACGTCCTGACCAAAATTTGGAGGCGAATCCAGCGGTGGTGACGAGGGCCTCCCAGGAGGCCCCAAAAAGGGAAGAGCGAAGGAAGGGTAGCGGCATGGGTACCTACCTTGTCCTCCTCCGAATTCGTGGGCCGCAAAAATGTCTACGCAGTGCTTCTCTCTCGAGCACCGACCTTGCAGACATGCTGCAGCGGATTTTTGTGCGGATTTCTGTCAGTGCAAAAACGCCGAAACGGCAAGTGAAAAACGAAGTGAATTTCGCGTGCGTTTGTTGTAGTCTTCATTCCTGGCCAGGAGAAATCCGCACGAAGTCCACCTCGAAATCCAGAAGGAAATTCTTCAGGACACTCCGGGCCCATCCCATGGCTTTCCGAACAAAATCCGCTCTGCGATGTTGGCGCCGTGGTGCTTCTCCCTCGAGCACCAGGTCCAGCATCCGCGCCTCCAGGGCCCCCAGGTCTGCGCGGGCCAAATCGGGGTCCACGCCGCCCATCGCCGGGGGGACGCCGCAGAGGCGCCCGCCCCGGACGCAGCCAGCGGCGCTGAGCCCAAAGCCGCACACGACCTTCTCCTCCTTCCACCCCCCTCCTCCCTCTTCCCTCCTCCTCTCCTCCGCCTCCTCCCTCCTCCCTCCTCCCTCCTGCCTTCTGCCTCCTGCCTCCTGCCTCCTGCCTCCTGCCTCCTGCCTCCTGCCTCCTCTCTCCCTCCTCCCTCCTCCTTCCTCCCTCCTCCCTCTTCCATCCTCCCTCCTCCCTCCTCCCTCCTCCCTCTTCCCTCCTCCCTCCTCCATCCTTCGCCTCCTCCTCCTCCTCCTCCTCCTCCTTCTCCTCCTCCTCCTCCGCCCAAAGCCGCAGACGACCTTCTCCTGCCAGCGGACGCAAGACTCCATGAGGTCGTCCGTGTCGTTGCCGAGGCTCTCCCAAGCCACCGCGGGCGGCGGCGGCGACGTCGCCTCCGCCGTGGGCTTCGACGTGGCCTGGGGCAGGGGCCCAAAGTAGAGGGAGAGAGCGGGCGGCGGGAAGGGCGCGAGGGCAAGCGTCCTCCTCCCGTCACCGCTGCCTGCCCTTCCTGTCCTCGTCCGCCTCCCCCCCGGGGGGCGGGAGAGGACAGTGACGGCGCGGGCAGCAAGACGAGGGCAGGAGGAAGGCGTGAAAGGAATCCAAAATCGGGCCATGACAAGCTTGGGGTCTCTGAGGGCCGGTGAGTCCAGAGGATGCATCGGGCGCCGCGGCCGATCCAGAACGCTCCCGAACGCTCTGGAGCAATCTGCATATCTTCATACCAACTGATATGCATATATAGATGTGCATACATATATGTACATGTATATATACACACATATGTATGTGTGCATGGATGCGTGTATGCATGTTTCGATGCACGTATGTATATATGCATGCATGTATGTTTGCATGCATGTATGCATATATGTGTATGTATGGATGCATGCATGTACATATGCATGCATGTGTACATGTGTGTATGTATGTATGTATGTATGCATGCATGCATGCATGCATGCATGCATGCATGTATGTCTGTATTTGTGCATGCCTTCATGCACGCATGTGAGCGTGCATGTGATGATGTGTGATGGTATGCTATGCTATGGTACACTATGTTTGTATGCATGCATGCATTCATGCATACATGCATGCACGCATGCACGCATATGCATGTCTGCATGTAGTCATGCATGTATGCATGTATGTAAAAATGGGTGTACGCATGTATGCATACATATACATTTGTGTGTATATGTCTATGTATGTAAATATGTATGTGTATGTTTGCATGCAGGCATGTACGTATGTGCATGTATGCACGTATAGATGGATGAATGCGTGTATGTATACATGCACGTATGTATTCATATATGTACATATATACGCATATACCTAATTATATATAAATATATAATTTACAAGCGCAGATGAGCACATGTATTCAATCACACGCATATATATATATATACACACATATGATGTTTGTGTAAATGTATAGGTGTACTTGTACGTATGTGTACGTGCATGAATGTAAGGTATGTGTGTATGTATACATGCATGTATGCATGTATATGTGTACGCATGCACGGATACATGCATGCAAGCATGCATGTTGTTTTGGTCCCGAGTGGGCCCTCTTCGGGTTCTCTTGGAGCCGGTTTCAGGCAGTCCTGGGGGCCTTCTGGGCCTGGGGCCCTCTGGGGCCGTCTTGGTCCCTCAGGGCAATATTAGGGGCCTCTTGGGGCTGTTCTGGGGCGGTCTGGGGGTCCAATTGGGCTGTCTTGGTGCCGTCCTGGGCCGCCTGGGGCCCTTCCGGGCGGGAGCCCTCTTGGAGCGTCTCGGGGCCGTCTTAGGTTCCTCTTGGGCCGCCTGGGCCCGTCTTGGGGCCATCTTGGCCTCTTCGGCCGTCTCGGGCTCTCTGGAGACCGAGATGCTGAGCGCACGGAAATTGCAGAGAAACCGCAGGAGCATCAATAGTTTCTGCCTCCCAGGGGACTCTCGGGAGTCGTCTTCGGGCCCCCTTGGGCCATCTAGGGGGCCCGTTGGGCCGTCGATTGCCCATCTTGGGCCATCTTGGGCCCATCGCGGCCATCTGGGGGCGCTCGTCGGATCCTCCTGAGGCCTCCTGGGGCCCTCCAGGGCCGTCTTGGGGCCATCTGGGGCAATCTTGGGTCCTCCCGGGGCGTTCCAGAAACAAGTTCCTGGCCAGCCCTGGCGTCGTGCCAGGTCACTTAGTAAGTTAGTTCATGTGTTGTGTATACGTGTATATATATACACACATATATATTTAGGCATGCGAATTGTATTAGTATGCCAATATGCACATGTATATGCACATGCATATATTTATATATATATATATATGTTGAACAGTCCATACACACACATACATACATACATACATACATACATACATACATACATACATACATACATACATACATACGTACATACATACACACATACTACATCACACAAGATTGCATTGGCGTTTCACGCCGTGCGCCGTGGTTCTTCACGACTTATATGCAGGAATAACGAGAGAGAGAGAGAGGTAGATCAACCAAACCATCGATCGCTGTTGGCTGTAATTCGCGCTGCCACAAAGATTATTTTGATGTTCCTACTCCGTCCATCATGTGTCCTTTTCTTTTCTTCTGCTTCCTCTTCTTCGTTCTGCCCTCCTTGTCCCGCGAACTCTTCCCCGACTTCCTGAACTTTGTTGGCGGAGGCTCCTCCGAGGCGAGTTTCTTAGAGGATCTCGCGAGAGCGTTTGAAGGGCTCCTTGGGCGCCTGTGGAAACGCCCCTGGCGCCTTTTGGCGGCCTCTGGGGGGTTCCTCAAGCCACCATGCCGCGAATCGTGGTCTCGGGTCACAGTTTGAATGCTTCTGGAGGGCGTCTTGGAACAATCTCGGCCCCCAATGATTGTGGGCAATTTCTGCACCCTCTTGGGCCGTCCTGGACTGCCAGGGACCCTTTTATGGTAGTCTTGAAACGGTGTTCGGTGCCTTTTCGGGCGTTCTCGGACGCCCCGGAAACCGAATAACCGAATAGCCCAAAGTCATACAATTATGCTAACGGAGTTCCCCACATAAAGAGATTAACGGTTTCGTGGGACCCATTTTCTTGATGCCCTCCTCGCTTTGGCGGGGCCCCGCTGGAAGGGAGGAGGGCTACGAAGCCCTGGCACCTGGCACGAGCCCCGAAGGGTTCAGCGCCAGGTGAGTGGGAGCACGAGCCCTGGAGGGTTCAGCGCTCCCACTGGGGGAGTAGCACGAGCCCAGAAGAGCCAATGCTGCTGGCAGAACCCCCAAAGGGTTCAGAGCCAAGCGACTGACGCCGTCCTTCTCCGCCTCTCCTCCTCGTCCTTGGGACTCAGTGCGACCATATTGGCCTGGTCTGTCACGCGGACTCCCAACTCTGAGAGCTCTACTCGGACTTCGACTGCGAATGCTGTGGGCAAAAGGTCGTCACACCAGTCTCATCGCGCGAGCACTCTGGAGCGGCGTCGCCGCGCGCGCATGACGAAATCCTTTTCAAAGCCATTGGGTTTCTGAGCATTCTAAGATATAGCTCTTGAAACACATATGAAAACCCAGTTGCGATTCCAAAAAAACCTGCCAGATGTATTGAACTTCAGTTTCCTCACCAATGCCACGCCCATGGGGCGCCTGTCTTTCCTGGGCGCGCGTCCGAGGTTTGGAAAAGATGCGTGTAGGAACTTATGAGGAGGGGACATGGGACGGGAGGGTGTATATCGCTGATGCATCATGGGTTCTATCTGGTCCCAATCCTCCCTTCTCCTCCTCCTCCTCCTCCTCCTCCTCCTCCTCCTCCTCCTCCTCCTCCTCCTCCTCCTCCTCCCCCTCCTCTTCCTCCTCCCTCCTCCTCCTCCTCCTCCTCCTCCTCATCCTGTCCGCTCATGTTGAAAGGGTTTGCCGAGGCCCTGGAGGACCCCTTGGTGTGCACTAGGCTCAGCGACCTTGCAGACATGTAAGGAGCTCCGGCACACAGACTCTCAATCCCACCAGCCCTCTGGGCGTTGGTGGTTTCCTCGCTCAGGCGGGGCCTCCCTGAAGGGGTGGGAGGGGCACGAAACCATGTAAATAGTATGGTTTTCCGATACCCTCCTCGCTCAGGCGGGGCCTCCCTGGAGGGTGGGAGGGGCACGAAACCATGTAAATAGTATGGTTTTCCGATACCCTCCTCGCTCAGGCGGGGCCTCCCTGGAGGGGTGGGAGGGGCACGAAACCATGTAAATAGTATGGTATTCCGATACCCTCCTCGCTCAGGCGGGGCCTCCCTGGAGGGGTGGGAGGGGCACGAAACCATGTAAATAGTATGGTTTTCCGATACCCTCCTCGCTCAGGCGGGGCCTCCCTGGAGGGGTGGGAGGGGCACGAAACCATGTAAATAGTATGGTATTCCGATACCCTCCTCGCTCAGGCGGGGCCTCCCTGGAGGGGTGGGAGGGGCACGAAACCATGTAAATAGTATGGTATTCCGATACCCTCCTCGCTCAGGCGGGGCCTCCCTGGAGGGGTGGGAGGGGCACGAAACCATGTAAATAGTACGGTTTTCGGATACCCTCCTCGCTCAGGCGGGGCCTCCCTGGAGGGGTGGGAGGAGCACGAAACCATGTAAATAGTATGGTATTCCGATACCCTCCTCGCCTCAGGGCGGGCCTACCCGTGCAGGGGTGGGAGGGGCACGAAACCATGTAAATTAATATGGTTTTCGGATACCCTCCGCGCCAGGCGGGGCTCCCTGGGGGTGGGAGGGCACCGAAACCATTGCAAAACGTATGTTGTCCGATACCCTCCCGCTCAGGCGGGCCCCTGGAGGACATGGAGGGGCACGAAACCATGTAAAAGTATGGTTTGCCGACCGGAGGGGTGGGAGGGGCACGAAACCATGTAAATAGTATGGTATTCCGATACCCTACTCGCTCAGGCGGGGCCTCCCTGGAGGTGTGGGAGGGGCACGAAACCATGTAAATAGTATGGTATTCCGATACCCTCCTCGCTCAGGCGGGGCCTCCCTGGAGGGGTGGGAGGGGCACGAAACCATGTAAATAGTATGGTATTCCGATACCCTCCTCGCTCAGGCGGGGCCTCCCTGGATGGGTGGGAGGGGCACGAAACCATGTAAATAGTATGGTATTCCGATACCCTCCTCGCTCAGGCGGGGCCTCCCTGGAAGGGTGGGAGGGGCACGAAACCATGTAAATAGTATGGTATTCCGATACCCTCCTCGCTCAGGCGGGGCCTCCCTGGAGGGGTGGGAGGGGCACGAAACCATGTAAGTAGTATGGTTTTCGGATACCCTCTCGCTCAGGCGGGGCCTCCCTGGAGGGGTGGGAGGGGCACGAAACCATGTAAATAGTATGGTTTTCCGATACCCTCCTCGCTCAGGCGGGGCCTCCCTGGAGGGGTGGGAGGGGCACTAAACCATGTAAATAGTATGGTATTC